TTTCAAAATTAGCTATCATTACATACAGGTGATGTCGATGTTTTGGACATTACACCATGAACTTGCAGATCATGTAATCTGCTATCTGCAAAAATTCCTTTTATATATTGATATAATTCAACTCCAGATTGCCACTTTTTAAGTAACTGACGCATTTGCTCTTTTGCAGAACCATCTGGCATTTCTTCAACACAAGATTTTTCTTTTTCAATACATAAACTGTCTTTATATGCTTCAAGTGTGTTACATATACTTCTTCTTTGCTTGTCATCCTTAATTCCTACTAATATGGACATCATGCTTTTGCCATTACCATCCATTTTAAATATTCTCGCACCACATTCTATGCTATATCTTATTGTATCCAACATCAATGGATGTATCTTAGGCCTATTGAAGCAATCTATCAAACCTGTTAATATTAAGCTTTTATCATCTAATAATATATTGTTAATATCTACTATAACATTATTAGCAAGATGCATAAAAGGACTATGACGAAGTGGATACGTAACCATGTGATAAGCAATAAGTTTTCTCTGATCATTAATAAAGTCTAAAACATCTTGATTTTTCTTAGCTAAATCTAAAGGTGTCTCTCCACAATTATTTGGGATGTTTAGGAATACCTTTGCTCCGTTATTATAGCTAAAAAAGTGTTCTATTGCCTTAAGATTTTTACAAAAAACAGCTACATGTAAGGCTGTACTTCCTATTATGTTTCGTAGTTTAGGATTAACTTTATGTTTAGGATTAGCTTTATTTCGATGCCCTAATAAACACTGCACGATAGATCCATCTTTGTCCCTATGAGCTGCAATGTGTAGAGGTGTACTGTTTACTGCATTTTTTACATTAGGATTTGCTTCGTGACGTAATAAATGTTCAACTATACCTAAATTTAGAGATAAAACAGCTATGTGTAGGGGGGTATTAAGATTATAATCTCGTTCATTTATGATGTATTTTTTATCACCATCACAGTCTGCAATAAAATCCCTAAATACATGATAGAAGTGTTCTGGTTTTCCATTTCGAATGCAATAGTGCAAAGGAAATCTTTCCTTTCTATAAAAATCCAATATTTTTTTATCAATACTGTTTAAATTTTGATTTTGATCGTTGATTAACATAAATTGCCTCTATTTTAATAACCTTACAAGTAAATTCTTATTATTAAGAAGTACCTTATTTTCAACCATCTTCGCAAAATGAACGGGCACTACATCCACGTGATGTCGATGGTTGGGATATATTTATTATATTATCAATGTAGTTACCCGGCCTGGTCCTTTGTTGAAGCCAGCCTTTCAATATTGATTTTTTTATTAAGGCTTGCTTATGTCTCTTAAATTGTTGTTCATCTGTGCCTCTTTTCTTATCATCAATAGGATTCAAAGCAGGCATATTTGCAACAGTACCTTTTAGACATCGATATAATTCAACCCCAGATTGCCATCTTTGCAATAACCGACACATTTGCTCTTTCTCAGAACCGTTTGGCATTTCTTCAATGCAAGATTTTTCTTCTTCAATAAAAAGTTTTTCTTCTTCAAAAGATAACTTTTTTTTATGTGCTTCAAGTGTGTTACATACACTTCTTTTTCTCTGATCATCATCAATGCCTACTAGCATAGATACCATACTTTTTCCATTACCATCCATTTTAAATATTCTAGCGCCACATTCTATGCTATTCTTTATTGACGCAAGCTTTCTCTCCAACGTTGATGGTTGTATCTCAGGCCTATTGAAGTAATTTATTAAACCTGTTAATATTAATTGTCTATTAGCCAATAACATATTGTTAATATCTATTCCTATGTTATTAACAAAGTGTTTGTAATTATCAAGACTAAACTGGTGCGTAACCATATAGCGAGCAATATTTTTTCTTTTTTTATTAATAAAGTTTAAACTATCTTTATTTTCATCAGCTAAATCTAAAGGTGTCTTTCCATAATTATTCATGATGTTTAGAACTACTTCTGTTCCGTTTTTATAATTAAAAAAATGTTCTATTGCCATGAGATTTTGACAAGAAACGGCTATATGTAGAGGTGTATTTCCTTCTACGTTTTGTAATTGAAGATTGGCTTGATAATCTAAGAAAAGCTGCACGATAAATCCTCTTTTATCTATAGCCGCTGCGATATGTAGCGGTGTATCTCTTAATAAATTTTGTAATTGAGGATTTGCTCCGCTCTTTAATAACCATAGTACTAAATCGAATCTTTGATATAAAGCGGCTAGATGTAGTGGGGTATTTAGACACCTATTTGCTTGATTGACATCGTTCAATACATGATAAAGGTGTGATGTTCCATTTTGAACACAAATATGCAGAGGACATTCTTCCTTTTTATACAAATCCAATATTTTTTCAGTAACACTATTTAAATTTTGACTGTTGCTTAACATAAGTTGCCTCTATTTTAATATCACCACTTTGTACTTTGTAACAAGTAAGCAAGTAAATTATCACCAGATATATTTATTTCATAAAAGCTTCTTGCACATATGTAGAATAATGATATTAGGCCCCTTGCACAACCCGATTTTTGATGACATAAACAGGTTTTGCAAGTGGTCTCTGATCATTATTAAACAAACTATTTTCAACCATCCTTCATCCCTTCAAAATTAGCTATTATCACACACACGTGATGTCGATGGTTGGAATATATTCACATTATCAAGTTGTGTACTGCTATTATGAAGCAAGGCCTTCAATAGCAATTGTGTTGTTGAGGTTTGCGTATGCCCCTCAAATTGGTGCTCACCTGCTCCCCTTCCCTCACCACCAGTAAATTCTGAAGTAGACACATTGACAACAAATTCTTCTATACATTGATATAACTCAACTCCAGATTGCCACCTCTGCAGTAATTGACGCATTTGCTCTTTTTTAGAACCGTTTGGCATTTCTTCAATACAAGATTTTTCTTCTTTAGAAGATAACTTTTTTTTATGTGCTTCAAGTGTGTTACATAAACTTCTTCTTCTTTCATCATCCGTAATGCCTACTAGTATAGACATCATGCTTTTGCCATTACCATCCATTTTAAATATTCTAGCACCACATTTTATGTTGTGCTTTATTGACGTAAGCTTTTTATTCAATGTCGATGATTGTGTACTAGGAGTATTGAAGGAATTCATTAACCCTGTTAATATTGAGCTTCCACTAGCCAATAACATATTGTTAAGATCTATTCCAACATTATTAACAAGGTGCAAAAATTTACGATGACCGATTGAATGCGTAACCGTGTGACGAACAAGCCATGCTCTTTTATTGTTAATAAAGTTTAAAACATCCTGATTAGCTAAATCTAAAGGTGTTTTTCCATTGCTATTTTTTTTGTTTAGGTATACTTTTACTCCTTTTTTATAATAAAAAAAATGCTCTATTGCGCTGAAATTTTGATGTAAAACGGCTATATGTAGGGGGGTATTTCCTTCTGTATTTCGTAATTTAGGATTGGCATAGCGTAATAAATGCCCTACGATAAATCCATTCCTATCCACACGAGCTGCAATATGTAGAGGTGTATCTCCTGATATATTTTGCAATTGAGTGTTTGCTCCATTCTCTAATAAGAACCGTACTATATCGAGTTTTTGATATAAAACAGCTATATGTAGAGGGGTATACAAACCCAGATCTGTTTCATTGATAATGTGCCCCGTGTCATCATTATAATCCTCAATAATATCCCAAAATATACGATTGAAATGTTCTGATGTTCCACTACGAATATAAAAGTGCAGAGGAAATCTTTCCTTTTTATAAAAATTCAACACTTTTTTAACAATATCATTTAAATTTTTATTATTGTTCAACATAAATGCCTCTATTAGTATATATTCCTATCTTACTATAAATAAGTAAATAAATCCTAATTTTAGCATGTCTATTTTTTTCTCACGCGTACTTTATTCAGACGAATAAGTAAATAAATTTTATATCTATTTTAACAGCGCTTCTTGCACGCACTTTATTAAATAGTCGGAATTAA